CTTCCTGATGCAGCCTCCTGGAGCCCATGTGGGGCTTTCCTGCATCTCCATTGCCTCTGGGCTGCCCTGCGATGCAGCAGTGGCAGTACAGAGCAGGCACAAGCAACCCCATGTGGGCTCTGAGCACCTGAACCAGTGAGTGTGGCAGTGGGAAGGGGAGAGAGGCTCTATAGAACTGGACCAGCTACCTCCTCTCCCTGCTGGCGCAGCCCAGCCTGGCTCCACACACCCCTGCCAGCCTGCGCTCCTGCTGGCGCTGGCCCCAGGACTCCGGCGTGGGCTCTGGACTCCCACACGCTGCTCGCTTCCACCTCCCCTACCCCCACTGCTGCTTTCCTGCCTGCCCTCCAGTTTGTCCCGTGCTGCCACTGCTGAGCCTGGGCCCCGCGCTGGCGCTGGGCTCACCCATCTGGGCTGAGCAGGAGCAGCTGGGTGGAAACTGCTGCTCGGTCTGGGGGGAAGTGGCCCCTCTCCCTTACTGTCGCTGGGCAGGTTTTGCTGCAGCCCCCGGGAGCCCGCACCAGGCTAGGCTGCAGTGTGGCTCCTTCACTGCTGCTTGTGAGCTGCCCAGTGCAGTTGCTGTGGCACTAGCAGATGCAGAAGTGGCAGGAGAAGGGCAGTGGTGGCAAATGGGGGGAAAGGGGCAGCAAGCGGGAGCACGGGGCCTGCACCGGCGCCCTGGAACCAGGAGCAGCAAGAATGTGGAGCCTGGGCTTGTAGGCACACTTGGTGGGGGCTCTGCCTGCTGTGGGGGGTGGGCTGTGGGCAAATCCTCCCCCCCTCCATAAAAGCCACAACCCTCCCCAGCTGGCCCTCCGCACACTCACAGCCCCCTACAAAATCCACACACCCACATCCCTATCCACCCCCCACAAATCCTACACAGACACCCACACCCCAAATACCTATACCAACACTCCCACAATATACAAGAGTCATTTTAAGGTACTATACTATCACCTCTATGTACACAACACAAAGACATGTAAATCAGGACAAAAATATTTTTTGAAATGAAATTAATGAATGTTGTAGTACGTTTGGTTTTTAGAATATAATTTGGTGTTTTTCTGGTTCCAAGATGGCAAACCCCCTTGCTGAAAGAAGTACTTGTGGGTGGCAAAGGTCAGAGGTTGGGGCGGGACTTCTGGTCCCAAGATGGCAACCAGGGGCAGGGCACCTGTCAAGGTACAGGGCTTCATGACTTGCCAAACTCAGTAAGTGGACCTCCACCCAAAATAATTGCCAGCCCCTGTGCCAGCATAACTGGAAAGACTATCACAATCAACTGGTAGCATCAAAGAGTTGTGTGTGAATGGCAGAGGATCTGAAACATTTTCAGCACTCAAGAATTGAACCTATACAGGTTGAACCAAACAGATATAAAGCTTCTGCCCAAGAGCAGTGAAGGATACTGAAGTATCATTAACATGTTACACTATATTTTGAGGCCTGTGCTAGAAGAAGAATGCTTGATATTGCTATCTAAACATGTAGGAAGAAAGACAGCTTCCCTGTGCTTAAGAGATTTTTCTAGAGCCTGGCAAATTAACTCATTTTATGTGGTGAATGGTATCTACCTCTGACAGACATCAAAATTCTATCAATTTTCATCATGCCCCTTCAGATACAGGGAGGAGAATATGGGATATGGATACAGGATAAGACTTATTTACTAGTTGTATGATTTATATTAGCTATTTCTCATGTGACAAATTCACAAAAAGAAACACATGCTTATGACTGAAAGAGCTGACCTTGTTTTTCCTTAGAACTAGCTCTACTGAAAACTCGAACATTGCTTGCAGCTCAAAACAGGACAGTGTGGCTATTTCCTGGATTTAGTTAACTATGAAACAGCAGAATAATTTTAAAATTGATACTATTAATTATTAGAGCCAAAAACAAAATTGAGGCAGGTTGCATCCAAGTCTGTTTCATGAGATTGGATAAAACATTTCTGAACAGACTGCGTAAGAGCATGGTTTCCCTTAGTATCCTTCAGAGGCAACAACACAAAGAAACTTGCACTGAAACCTAATATTATTCTTCCCAATTAAAAAAAACAAAACTTGTGTTCCTAAATCTGATCTAGAATGACCACTGTTGGCCCTGTTGTTTAACCTCTTTGGTTTCAAACCCAGTTAAGTAATGCTTGCTCTCACAAGTCGAATAATACGATTTGTATTTCTATCATACTGTAGAGATCCTCTCTCCCATGCTCCTCCCAAGTACATCTTCTGAAGGAGGGAGAAGATGACACACAAGTAATTGAAGGGTCACCACAGAAGCCATTAAGATTTTTCTTGTAAATCAGGAGTTTTATTCAAGTTATTCAAAGAAAGAAATGAGTCTATTTTTATAAATAGGATTTACCATTGTATGATGTGCCTTGACTCTTACAGCCAGTATTCTGGCTTCTAACAAAAGCAAACATCTGAGGCTTCAGAAGGAGGAAGACAAAAGTTGTACTACATTTGTACTACCATTTAACACCTATGAAGGAAGGGGAAATTCCTGTCTGGCATCTGGGGTGATCAATTTATACCCAGGAGCACAAAGCCCAAGTACTTCTCTCGACTGTTTGCTAATATTCATAAGTCAAACAACTCTTCAAATATAGCTATACGTCTTTAGCTTTCTGAAACAGTGAATCTACCAGGTTCAGGACCCACAGTAGGAAATGTCACTCTTTGTTCTAGATTAATTTAGCTACTAATTTAATGGAGAATATCTTTGTGCCCATGTATCTGCTCATATATAATGCGCCCCCCCCCCCCCAATAAAAACACCTTGTTTTTGGAAGGGAGACTGTAAAGAAAAAGTTTTTTCCAATTATGACCAATTGTGCAACAGAATAAGTTCTCCTGGAAACACAGATGCTGGATCCAGATGTGCAGGCACAGGCACGCTGTGGCACCACAAACCTCTTTGCAGTGCCATAAACTACATGTGTTGCATGTTAAATTGTTTTCACGTGCATGACATAGCATGACATCCTGTGGCACCCTTAAAAGGAGATCAAGACACGCCAGAGTGATGCAGCACCCTGGTTGAGAGATACTGTCCAAGGCATATGAAAGTGCCATCCCTATAATTTTGTCATTGTCATACAGCTAACCCCGTGTTTGGCTGAGGTTCAGGTCATGTGTGGAGTTTAGCTGAGTGAAGTTAAACTCAATCAAAGTTGAAATTGTGGTGTCTGGCGGGAAAAAACTCAGATGCGTGCAGCCCTGGAATTGCTTGGTTGGCTGAAAATGCACCCTCACAACTGGCCTAATCAATACGCAGTTTAGAAGGGCTCCTGGTTTCCTCACTTATGCTAAGCTCTAACCAAACTATGTAACGTACATAGTAAATCTATTTATTGCCAACTAGAAGACTACATTCCACCCTGGTTGTGGATGAGTAGAAAGGATACATATTAGCAAGGCCACTTCCCAACTCATCTACAGAATTCAATTGACATGGGCATGGAGCAAATCAGCCCCCATAAATTACAGAATACAATACTATGATGCTTCAACAAACCCTGTTACACTAACAACCTCCTTTTTGTCCTGAGCTGATCTAAGCTGGCTACCTGAAATTTTTCCTTCCCATGTATTAAAAAAATCCACATGTAACTTTTCCTCAGGGACAGGAAGGAAGAAGGAATCATCAGCCTGACAAAGGGTATTTACACCCAAAAGCTTGCCAAGGAGAATTTTTCCAGCTATTTAAGTTGGTCTAATAAAAGTTATCAGATTTACCTAAAGAACCTTGTCTGCCTAGGTCATTAGACCAACACGGCTACAACCTATACCCCATGAGCTGATAGTCATGCTATTTAATGTACTCTTGGAATACATTCCAATACCACAATGACAGATGTCATGTTAAAACTTGAATACACTATTTTTCCCAGCAAGCCCGGCAAATGTATTGAGGACTGAGAATCCATCTGGATTATCATCTTCTTGTCCATTGTCACCAGGGACAAAAGTTCTATAGACCAAATTAAATCACCTCTTTGCAGCAATATTGAATTATATAGATGTAACAACAACAACAACAAATCTCAAAGACCAGGTAGACTAATTGAAGACTAGTTAATGTCATGATGTTCAGAAAGGACAGGATCCAATCATTCTTCTGGAGCTCTATTGACACTCTAGAGCTAACTGGTACAAAGAATGGGGAAAATTCACTGTTGTCACTAGAGGAAGTGCATGATTCTGCATACACACAAGAAAATATGCTGAGTAAGAAGAATCCATTTTTACAGAATTGCTTTTGAAAGTAAAAGCTACGCTTTAAATTTTGTAAACAACTGGAGGCAAACTTTGTAGGCCTTCATTCTACAACAGGATCTTCATGGATGGACTCCTGGAACCAGCCTCTGGGAGGTCACGTTAATCCATCAACATGGATGTCACTGCACATTCTAGCCAAATATTCTGTGCTTAGGAAGCGATTTTTATTTGGGAATCAGTATATTCCAATTCTTTGGTGGGTGAACTTGAGAAGCCAGTATTATTTTTTATCTAAGGGCACAATCACTCAAGGAGCATCATTCCACAGACATGGGCTGACATGTATTAGCATCAGCTGATTGGTAACAAGGGGGGCATTCCTGTATAAAGCAGTCACTGTTTTAACGCTCTTTGTTACAGGTTACCACTTTGGTTGCATTAGATTTCCATTACAAACCCCTACGTTATCAAAAGCATTTTTTTTTTTGAATACACAACTTTGTATCTCTAGAACATCCTTAATGAAAGTGTGTTATATTAATACTCACCCTTTGCAAGACGAGCAATCTACTAGCAAATCATCAGTTATATCACAGGCAGACAAATGTACATCCTCACAGAAAGACACATACCATCCTCCACATGGCCCATATCCACTATCACATGCAGCAAACTGTGCAGCACCACCAAACCCACCCACAACTCACAGGGTGAGCAACAGTCACACCCTCCCCGTGCCTACAGGCCAGTGTGGCTTTCGCTTACCATGGCGGCTTTGGAGGGGTCTCCGTTGATTTCCTTCCTGGGTCTGCCGTCTCACCCAGCTCATATCATGGGCCGAGGCAGCTTTACTGGGACTTCCCCACCCATCCAGCTAGAAACAACCTGCCATCCGTCCCCTCTACGAACAACTGTCCTGCCTCCTCCCAGGCCTAGCCTCAGGACCCCATCAGCTCTACCTCAGCTTTGACAAGAGTCTTAACAATGCACCAGCTGCAAAGGCTGCAAGAGGGGAAGGCCAGAGATGGTGCCCAGACCCTGGAAGGAATGGGGAGGAGCTGGGGGGGGTGGGGGGGACAGAAGAGCAGGCCAGAGACG